CCCACCTCACTTTTCAGACCGATGAGCTTTGTAAAAATCGACGCGTTTCAGAAAGGCGAAAAGTTGCTGTGTGGCGTTCTGTACCTCTAATAAGTTAAAAAACCTGATCTGACGATGTATATGGCTGATACACTGCAATGATCTGTCATTAGTCCCGTCCCCCTGCACCACAACCCAGTTCTGATGGGGCTTACAGTAACCCTCCTTTACATCACAATCAAATAAATCTCACTCCCTGATAGTTTGTGATGTCATAATCTATTAAAACATTTATTTCATATTATTATACACAATCCCTTACGAAAATTAGCAATGGTATTACTATAGTAAAAGTATAGTAGGCTAACCATGTTTTTTTTTTGGCGTTTTTATTACCAATTGTAGCCTATAACCACAGTTTTACTACAGATACCATGGTTAAACTATGGTTAGTGTAGTAAAACATGTTGTTTTTACCATTTAACTATAGTAACCAATAATATATAGTACTGTTATATATCATATAAAATACTGTTTTTTTAGTATTTTATATACATATTTTCATGTTATCTTTATTTTACGGCATGTATTTGTGAAAATGATTAGGCAGCCGCAGCACACACCACATAGAATAACGCTGCGCATTTCAAGGCACTTCAGTGGACCTTAATGTTACCTGTTTTATCAATGTTAAAAAACTTTTTAATATATCAATAAGAAAGTACGACAGGCTTTTACTCAAGTCTTTATCACTTTATTAAAATTAAGCAAAACAAAACGACAAATGTTTACTTTCACAAGCCGTCTCGTATAGGCTTGTAGTAGCCTAAGCTCTCTTGCTCAATTAGGTAACAAAAATGTCGGGAAACGACACCTCCGGCCATTCCGTTGGGTCGTTTGTCCAGTCACAGATACCGTACGGACAGTCCGACCCAATACGGCTCAGTTTTTATACGTATGTTGCTAGCCGCCGCTCACTCAAGGCTGCCGTGTGTGACGCTGTGTTTCGTTGTGAAAGCGAAACTACTTTGTTTGGACACAACTAGAAATCAACGGTTAAGTTGTATTTACAACACTGTTCCAGAACAGTTCAACCCAAATACTCAGATGTGTGCAGCACATTTTATGAAGGATTGTTTCCTGATCTTGGGATAGTAGACTACAATGCCGGCTGTTCTGACGCACAGACTGTAAGTACGTTTTTTTATATATAAAGAATTTGCCACTGACGAATTAAACGCGAGTTTTGAGCAGTGTTGAGTAGCGCTTGTTGTTTGTCATTTCTCCGATCACAAATGCAGACATGGTTTTATGTTTATGCGGCG